GATAATTGCATTAATGAGAAATTGAACAGGTGTTCCTAATAATCCTTTAGGTGAGTGTATGTCTTCATGACTATAGGGGAAAATGTATTAGCACAGGTTCAACAACAAAATGTTCCTATAACATTTTACAGATATGTGCTTTAGGTGTTGATGAAACATGATTAGAGCTTATAACAAAGGTACAGATTTTAGGCCTATATTCAATTTTTGCACACACTCTTTATTTGATTTATTAATAATATTTTTTTCCCTGCAGCCCTTTCATTTCTGCCTTCAGCTCTGCAAAAGAAAACCATACCTATTTAATGTATAATAAATACTGTGCATACATACTGGGGTACCTCAGTACTCAAACTCATTAGGACTCTAATATGTAATTTCGTAAAAGTCGAACTAACCAGTAAAAAAAAAATTACCTAGAACTCGATCTGAATCTCAGAAGTCTAACCGTGAACGCCGACCTAAGATAACTTGTACGTGCGGGGAAATTAGTCACGCATCACGTCTCTCAGCGGAAACAAAGGATAACGCTTCAGTCTCAATTCGCTGTGATAGCATCGATTGTTGGTAATAGTGCTTTTTTTTATTGAAAATATCAGGTAATACACTGTACTTTATATCATTTTGGTAGCCATTGCACATTGTTTGGATACATTTATTTTCTTTACAAATTACTGTTTTGATAAATGTGCTTAGATGTGTTTAGTATATGCTGTTCTTGTTTTATCCTGTTCATTTTGTGTTTAAATGGTAAAAAAAAAAAACATATTTAGCTGTAATTTTTTGGGGCCGGGAACCAATTAATTGGTTTTCCATTATTTATTATGGAGAATATTCGATCAGAACTCAAAATTTTAGGATTCGAACCAAAGTTCTGAATGGATTAAATTCGAGTTCTGAGGTACCACTGTATATGGCTGATGCAGGAGTGTGTTTTAACACAAGACCAGAATTCTGTACACATGCTCTTTTTGAAGTTCAAAATAGACAATCTTTCAGTTTCAAAAAGCAGTATAAGAGCAATAATTTCTTTAACAATATCAAAGCTATTCAATGAAAAATATTGTTCAATTGCTATTTCCATTTTATGTCTCAAAAATGAAACTTTGTAGCCTTAGAACAGACATACCATTCTCATGGTTCTAATGAGTTTTCGCGGCAACTCCCTAATTAGATTACTAATTAGAGGTCTGATTGGCTGAAGAGTTCTCGCACCTGGGATTGAACAGCTGACCTAAAGGTTATCCCCAAAAAGCTGCATACAGACTGGCCCTTTGCAGATAAGATTGCCTGCCCCTGAACTAATCTAAATGATCTTTCATATTAATTAGCACATATTATTTAAATCTAAATATCCATAAATGTACTTACCAGTATCAGCAGAAGGAAGACTATTATTGCAGTCCTCATGGTATATTTTCCTATGCCAAAATAGGCTGATCGATTCAGCTTTAGTGAGTTTATGAGTTTAATATGTGGCCTGAATGGGAACAGGGTGTTTTTAAAGAGCTGAGATTTATCACAATGAGTCATTTCCATGAAAACCTTTACATATGTCATTCCAGAGTCATATCCCAGCCAGTCTCCTCCCTGTCATGGCACTAACAAGCAGAGACAGGCAGTTTTTCAATTAAATGTATTTAAAATACGTATTTAATTACTTTTAAATATTTTGTAATTTTATATTTTGCTAGATGGAAAAAATCAGATGTAATGTGTAACTAAATACTTTGAGAGATTGTATTTCATGTATTCAAAATACTTAATAAAATATGTCATTTTATGAATTTATTTTCTGTAATTTTAAGACCATTCAGTCAATCACTAGCAATCACCAGGCTTACAGACTTTTAAATATCACTATCTTTGGCTAGATGTAAATCATATGACACATACTAGTGGGCCCAGCTTGCTTCTTGTGAACTTTGTTTTCCCATGAAGCTGCTTGGGTGCTCAGTGCAAATTGCTTTAAGGTAAAATATGTAGTACAATATACTATCAGATATAGTTCACTGAATGTCATTATAGAACTGAAAAATAGAGCAGTCAGCAAACAGCAGGGCTGTGCTCTAGAACTTGTCAATTAACTTGTTGGTTCTCTCACATTTGAGCAGTTGTTATGGGGGTGATTTATTTATCTTCAACCCTGTGTTTGTCATTGGAAGGTCACTTGTTCAAATCCCATGGCCTGCAGAGTGATAGTCCTTACATAATAAAATATAGGCAGTCCCCAGGTTAAGAATGTATGACTTCTGGACAGATCGTACGTGTCATATAGCCTATCACATTAAAAATGTAGCTATAATACAGTGGTTAGTAATACCGAAGGCACACACTACTTTGTGACGCTCATGAAAACATTTGTGCGATTTCAGCGGTTCATCGGCTTGAGGTACAATACAGTATAGTAAATATATACTATTTGCCATATTCTAAGACAAACATTTTACTGACACTAAATAAGAATCATATGTACCTGTTCCTACATATTCAACTTGAAGACAGACTTAGGGAATGGATCTTATTTGTAACTGGGGACTGCCTGTACAAAAGAGTAGAATAGTGGTATACAAATACAAAGGTGAGGGCAAGCTTAGGGTCACAGCACAAGGGCAGCCAGCGTGCAGCACCCTTGCACTGGGGGCTAAGGCCCTTGCTAAGGGCACAGTGGGATCAGTCTGCAGGCATTGGCATTCAAACCTGAATCCTAATCCACTGAGCTACACTCCACCCCAAATGAACCCCGTGATAAAAACAATGATGGTTTATGACTTGATTTCCTGATGAACTGTGTAACCTGATACTTGAGGCCATCTTGAACTAGTAATTTCCTTTGTGCTCTGCTAGTATTTATTATTTAAGCAATTGTCATTATCAAAGAGTTATATATGTCAATGTAACCTGAATGTACATTTAATTCATGTGTATTCACTTTTTTATTTTATTGCATATTATATATCAGTCATGTGGGTGTGGTTCTAAAAATTGTTTTCTAGCTAATGCCTTATTTCCTTGGAACTTAGGGATGATGCCATGCTGTGGTATTTACTACTTGCCTGTACAATCGTTGATGTCCCAATTTCACAGTTCACTCTTCACACTATGTATTATACTTTCTGCAACTCTGAACAGATCGCAGGGGAGAGCCTCTCAAAACAGATTTAAATACATAAAAGCTATATTTCACCGTAAATGAACATTAAAATGGATGTTTAGGATTTCCCAGTGAGTATTAAACTATTGTAATAAAATGACAACAAAAATATTTATTATTATTGTCACATTTAATCATTTTGAAAATATCAACCTTAGTCAGCGCTGAAAATTTAACTAATGTATGGAAAACATCAGATTACATTAACTCTTATGTATTGTTATCAATATAATAAAAAGTGCATAATACTTTCTATTAGTCATGCTTCTAATGCTCCTGTAAATCTGCATGAATAAGTACAATGAGGATTGTTTCCTCTATTTTATTTTATTTATTTTTTAATTAAAATCAGATGCAAACAAACAAGAAAAAGATACAAGAATAAGCTATTCATTTAAGCTTGACTGTTAAAGGTGCTTTAAAATTCATTTTATTAAAACATATTGTTATTATTATCAGCATCCCCATCAGTATTACCATTATTGTGATGATAAAAAATAATAATAACATACTTTAATAACTTCATCTTCTACTGGGAGCAGAAAGCACCCTTTGAACAGATGGTGAGCGACTCTGGTGAGTTGTCTTGTTGCTACATGAGGCATGCAGGATCCTCTTTCTTTCTGTCATCAGTTGGCGGTTTGCCCCATAGCAAAGACACATCTGTGTGCTCATCTTCATCATCTGACTGGGTGGGGGTCTCCTCCCCTTCCTCACTGATAGGGTCAATGGAGGCAGAGGAGATGGACAACATGGGGGGTCTGGACTCAGAACCTCCATGTACTCGCAGAGAGGTCCTTTCCTTGAAATTATCTTTGGTGTGTGTGTTATCTAAAGCAAACGAAAATGTGTACAATTATATCAATTATGATTTTGTGCCCAAGCATTACTTTCATCCACCCATCGGCCAATGGCGTATCCTTGTCAGAGTCACAGGGGGTGTCCTGGACTCCATCCTCAGACAGGATGCTCGTCCTAACATGTCATCAATTCAGAATGTCACTTCATAAAATGTACCAGTGCATACTGCTGCATTAAGGGCAAAAATATAATGAACAGAAATAAAAGTAAAATATTTCACAAAGTTCCTTTTGTGTTAAGTCTAATTTACTTGGAGCAGAGTTATGTTCAGGTCTGTAGGCTTGATATTTGGGAATGTGTAATTTAGAAGATAAACATCTATCTATGTGGGTCCATTTAAGAAAATAATGCTTTGTAATACATTGATGCAGGCTCTATCACACACCAAAAACTCTAAAACAGGCTGTATTATTCAGTCAAGATATCACATGTACTCTAATACCTACTCTGATATTGGAATTTCGAGGACAGTATGCAATTCTTTACTGTTAAAAAGACTTTGCTCCATGTTTGATTCTTTACATATTTTTGTTAATGGACGTTATCACATCTTCCATTGATTATTATTACAACATAGAAACTAATGAAGCAATTAAAATGTCTTTTAATTAATAAAGCTATACAGCCAGTGCCCCTTCTTCTTCAACCATTTTATTTTTGACTTCCTATTGTGTTCTGAATCGCATTCTTTGCTGAACAATGCAGCTGTTTCCAGTTTTCACTTATGAACGTAATAGCCTGACAGGCTCCTCTAGAACGGCTCTACCCACCATATATAACCGCTGCCATAGGATATCACTTTGGAATTCTATGTTTGATTTTTCCATAGACATAACTGTGGCTTCCAGTGACTTATGTTGTTCAAAAACTCCTGGAAGATGCAGGTGGTTTTTGGGAAACTGCACAGAAGCACATATTTTTGAGTAATTTGAGATAAGCATTCACATTGGTCCTACTGATCAGTAGTTTTTGGTGTTTTTATTATTTGTCTGCATTGCTCTTCAAGTTACTTAATCAAGACAGTACTCTTGGTGTAATTCACTACTGCTGAAAATATTTTTTCAGACCAAGTACGAGTACTGGTGCTCGCTTTTTGATACGAATTAGGGCTTGGCAGTGTCAAAAATAATATGTAATGTTTTAATTTAAAAATATTGGACCCTCCTTTCCACACACACACACACACAAAATATATATACACAAGCATGCAGCAGCAAGCAGGACACTTAAGATAGTTTTTCCGTGAAAAGTGAAGGCATGAAGAAAAACCTATGGATATTCCACTAAATAGCAGGTGTTAAAACGTGGAGAGAGGGGCAGGTGCTTAAGAGCAGTGCTGATCATCGTTTTTTTTTTAGTTTCTGTGAAAAACAATGGATTGGCAGGCTGACTGAAGCTGTCTAAATCAGTGGTTCACAAATTTTGCAACATGCAATAACATGTGTACCACATTACAACATTATGTTTGATCATCAAGAACAATATACTGGGCAAGAGCTCCTGTTAATTTCACTGCATGAGGGTTATTGTTTGACATTATCACTCTCTTTATTAGTGTTTGCTGCACGTTTGTCGCAGAGTGCTGCTGGTGGTAATTTCGCGATACTCTTTCTTATGTTTAGTTTGTAGATGTTTAATTAGATTGCTTGCATTGTATGAACTGATTTTTGTACTTCCTTGATATTTTAGCAAAGCAGAGTTTGCAGTCTGCTAAGCTTTGTTTTTTTTTTTATTAATCTTGACACATTGTATATATTCTGTGGTCCCTTTTATTTTGTTTGTTAATGATATTGCTGATACGTCAGAGATATCAGGTGGTATTGGTTTATAGGCAGGATGAGTACATGTACACTCACCTAAAGGATTATTAGGAACACCATACTAATATGTATGTTTGACCCCCTTTCGCCTTCAGAACTGCCTTAATTCTACGTGGCATTGATTCAACAAGGTGCTGAAAGCATTCTTTAGAAATGTTGGCCCATAT